ATCACCGGTCCCTGTACCCACTCCAGCTCCTCACAGAACAGCAGCCCAGCAGTGCATGCCCAGATCACTGGCTGTAGCATATCGCCCCAGCTTAAGTCGCTTTGTAGAGCTAACCTTAATTCCAAGTAGCCTGTAAAATATTGTGAAGTGTTAGTGGGTGCTGGACACTCGTGGAGCTCAAACGCAATCCGGTGATTTCAGTTTGGGCTGGACCAGTACAACAGTTTGAGCCTCAGGCGTGTGCCAAACAACGTCATAAGAACTTGGAAACTTTGCTCCGGTCCTCTTCTTGGGAATCCCTTGACCAAATAACCCCAATGTTGCACCATTAACTCTGCCTTGAACTGAGATGAGCCACAGCAATTTTCTAGATAATCTGTGTCAGCGAGTGGATTTTAGAGCACTAAGGACATTTAGCTGTTAGTAAGCTCATCTCTGCTTTAGCCACAGTGCTTTTGCTGCCCGATTGTAATGGCACTGAACTGGGCCTTAGGTAACGGATCCCTTGGCCACCTCAGCTGGGCTGTAAGACCAGTTCAGTGCCACCCAAGGCAGGCTGCTGCCTTGTCAGCCTGTGACACTTCCCATTGGAGGAATGCACCAGCCAGAGGAGTGAAGAGCATAGCAGGGATGTGCTTGCAGTGACCAGTCCCTCCGAAGGCTCAGCAGAAATCTGCCCATAACAGCATGGTGGAGAGACTGGTATCTTTCCTCATAACCCTATGGACGGGCCAGTGTCATTGGCTCTGACGAGGGCTTGGTGGGTACAAATCCATCACACTCATCACAGATCGTGCAGAGGAGGGCAGAGTGGGGCCTCTCCCTCTTCCAGCTTAGTGCCATCTCCCGACATTATTATTATTAGAGAGACAAGGTGGGTGAGGTAATATCTTTTCCTGGACAAGCTTTTGAGCTTACACAGAGCTCTTCTTCATATTATTATTATTATTTATTATTATAATAACCTGTATTATCATGCAGCCTCAGAGCCCCGAGTCAAGGACCAAGGCCCCATGTGCTGCAAAAACACAGCACCAAAACCAGCCCTGCCCCAAGGAGCTGAAATCAAAGTGCCCTGAAACTGGATCAGTGTTGGTACGTAAGTATACAGAGGGCTTCAAGACATGGCTCCTCCAAAGAGCTTGAGTAACCTACGCACCTCCTTGGTGTGGTGTTCTGTCCCAATCTAGTGGCACAAAGACCACTTAGAGAGAGAGATTAATGAGTTTGCTCTACAACCGCCTTTTACTTATGCAGTAGAGGCCCATGCATTTAGCTCCAGAGGTCCCAGGTTCAATCCCACCCACCGACGACCAGGGTCTGTCAGTGGTACACTTGGACTCTAAATGCCTAGCTCCCTCTTTGCTTTCTCAACCACAGCTGCACTCTGAGCAAAGTCTCCATTGCGCCGTCTTCAAAGGAAGTAGCTCAAACCTCCAAAGTGTCTGGCCAGCGGCAGGACATTAGCACTGCAGGGGAGGGGTGGGTGTGGCAGTGACATCACAAAGGCCTTTTGCAGGACCTCAGCCTATTGGTCAAAGGTGGTGGGGAGGTAGTGACCTCACAGAGAGATGCTGACCTCAGCCGGGCAAGACAGGGACGCAGAGCCAGGGAAACCTTGGAGACCCCTGTGGCTTTTGCTTCAGCAAGCCTCCTTCTCGAGGTCTCTCTTTGAGGACGGAGAGAGTATTTGTGTTCACATATGTGTGCACGAGGAGGAACCTCTTTCGAGTTTTCTCCTTTCCTTTGACTGATTTTACTAGAAAACAGACATCCCTGTTTGGAAGGTAAGAGCCTCCGAGAGGTTTGGAACCTGTCCGGTCTGATCCATCTGGTGCCAGCTGAATTCTAGGCATGGAAAATATTAGCTTAAAGTGGCAGAATTTTATTCCCCGCCTAGGATTTTGTCCCTTAGGATCACTGGGGACATTAGGGTTTGTCCTTTTTGTTTTACCTTTTCCTCCATCTTTCCCTCCTTTCTCTTCATCTCTTACTTCTTTTCTCCTTTCCCCTGTTCCCCTCCCACCACCAGGAGGTGTGTGTGTGTGTGTGTCATGGGAGGGTGGGGGGCTCTGCAGCTCCCATTGTGGAAGGTCCACCCAAAAATGTGGGGATGATATAGTGTTCAGACAGTGATCCCCACCGATGACCTGGGCCATCCTTTGAGCTCTCTGGTGAGAACCCTCAGCCTCTCGCCTCTCAGGCTCTACTCTGATTGGCTGAGCAGGGGGTTATTGACAGGGAGGAGACTCAGGTCCTTGTTTTTCTCTTTTAAGACCAAGTAAATAAGTCATAACCAGTCATATGTTTGATGAATTTTGCTGCTTCTCTGCATTAATTATCTCTGAGCAGTTCATGATTCTTGCTAACATTCCAGTTCTCCTAAAATACTTGCTGAATAATTACTATGAACTGCTGTTGGTCTGGAGCTCATTTGAGAGTACTTTATTCAGGTCATTCTATGTATGAAATTCAAGATCCTATGGTTAGTTTGAAAGTCGGGGCTCTTGGGTCCTATTTCCAAGTCTGCCACCTACTGGCTGTGTGACTTAAGACAAGTCAATTCTCCTTTCTCAGCCTTAGCTTCTTCCTCTTTCAAGTAGGGATAACAATCTGCTCCTACCTACCTCACGGTGGGTGGAGGATGGGGATCCATTGGAGAGTGTCACTAGGAGCAGTGCATAATATGAGGTGTCCTATCACGATTACTCAGATCAGATTATGACATAATAGAAGAGCTGAAATATTCTATTTGATTTGTATTTTATTATTTTGAAATTGTTAAGAGCAGCAACTACTTAGCTCAGACTGAAGCATCTTATATAATTTTTGAGATCTAAGTGTCTCCTCTTTGTGTGTTACGAGACAATTTAACACACTGTGACAAACAGAAGATGCTTTTGTTTTGCAACAAAATATTTTTGCAAAGAATTTTCATCCCACTTGTTATGATTTCAAGAAACCAACTGGTTTAGTCTGAATGGGATTTTCTGACAGAAACGGTTTCAATGAAATTTCCCCACCATCTCGATCCCTGGGCTCTATCCCTGCCTTTGTGGGGGTTTGTTGTCTGTTAGAACAGGAGTCAGGACCGGTGGCTTCTCTTTCTGGCTCGGCCACCGCCTTGCTGTGTAGGCCCTTGGGTAGGTCATTTCCGTTCTCTACCTTAGGCTCCCCATCTGTCCAATGGGAACAGGGACAATTCTCAAACTCTGGGCAGTTGCGAGCCTGGGTGAGATAAGGGGTGTTAAAGCCCTTTGTGAAGGAGAAAGGGGAGTTTCACTGTGTTGAGCATGAAGGAATTCTAAACTTTGCTAAAATGTCTAGTCTGCAGAAACAAGAAATGGTCAGGGCCAAATTTTAACCATTGTCTTTTTTAAAACCCATTGAGGGATGTGAGTCCCACTCTTTTAGGTACCTGGGGTTCTTTGCCAGGAGGAGAGAAGAGGTTCCTGCCTCCATTTTTGTGGCCTTAAGAAACCAGGTGCTGTGCCCCAGTTCTCGTCTGAGATACCTGAAAAAGAACACCTTCCCATCCATTAACAAGACAGGACCTATCTTTAAAAGGGGAACAAAGAGAACCCTGGGACTTACATACTAGCTAGCCTCACTTCCATACCTGGAAAGATACTGGAACACATTATTAAACAATCAGTTTGTCAGCACCTACATGATAATTTGGTTCTTAGGACTAGTGAGCATGGATTTGTCTAGAACAAATCATTCCAAACCAATCCTATTTCCTTCTTTGACAGGGTTACAGGCCTATTGGAGGTGGGTAAACAGTAGACATGATCTATCTTTCAGAGTAGCAGCCGTGTTAGTCTGTATTCGCAAAAAGAAAAGGAGTACTTGTGGCACCTTAGAGACTAACCAATTTATTTGAGCATAAGCTTTCATGATATTGGTTAGTCTCTAAGGTGCCACAAGTACTCCTTTTCTTTTTATGATCTATCTTGGTGTTAATAAGGCTTTTGACCCAGTCCCATAGGACATTCTCACAAGTAAACTAGGGAAATGTGGTCTAGATGCAATTAGTATAATGTGGGTGTACAGCTGGTTGAAAGCCCATACTCCAAGAGTCCTGTTCCATGTTTGGCTGTCCAACTGAGAGGGTGTACCTTGTGGGTCCAGCAGGGATCAGTCTGGGGTCCGGTACTATTCAATATTTTCATTAATGATTTGGAAAATGGAGTGGAGAGTATGCTTCTAAAATTTGCAGATGACACCAAGCACTTTGGAGCACAAGATTGGACTTCAAAACGCCCTTAACAAATTGGAGAATTGGTCTTCTTGAGCCAAACTCCATGGCTGGGCCCCTCTCTATAGACTGGGCTGAAGTGAAACCCCAGAGCCAAACTCTCCTTCTCCTTGACAGTGCACTCCGACCTTTAATGGTCAGATGCTGCTTAGCACGGTCAGAGCAGCTTTTGCTGGGGGAATCTCCCAGCACTTTCCAATAGTGGGAAAGTATTAAATCCCCTTTTGACTGCTGAGGACAGAGCCATAGAGGGGAGAGCAACTTGCCCAAAGTCCCACAGGTCAATAGGAAAACCAGCACTGGAATGCAGGAGTCCTGACTCCCAATCCCCTGGTCCAGTCACTACAGCAGATCACACTCTCTCTCAAAGGCAGGGGGACTGGACATGAGGGCCTGGTTGTAACTGCCAGCTGTGGGAGGGAGTGTGCAGCAGTGGTTAGTGAAGGGGCCTGGAAATAAGGACTGCTGGGTCCCATCCATGGCTCTGACACTTGGTGTGACCCTGAGCTAGTAGCTTCCCCTCCCCAGGCCTGTTTCTCATCAGTAGGGTTGGGGTCACAGTCCCTACAGCCCAGGGGGGGTTGGGAGGCTCCAGGAAGGTGTGTAAAGTGCCGGGATGTCAGGAGCTGGGATGCGCTGTCACCCCTGCACTAGGGCAGTGTTCTCCACCCCCAGCTGCTGGCTGAGTTTCTCTGTCCGTTGGCAATAAGACAGACTCTTGTTTTCACAGCCAGTCAGTCGCTTAGTGTCATTACCCTGTCTGCTAGCTGGGCAGGGTAACTCCTCAGGTCACCACCCTCTCCAGGCTGCCTTGGGCTTGGAGACTGAGGAGGAGGGGAGAGAGAGCTGGTGACCCTGAACATCCGCCATCCATCGCTCCATCACCTAGCCTAAGTGAGTGGCATTAGCTTTTCTCTGTGGCATCCCCTGTCTGTCTGGGGAGAGGCAGAAAAAGGGGGAGAGAATCTCTCCCAAAGGAGATTAGATTTGCAAACCGCTCCCAGGAGCCCCTCGCTCTCAGTCCGGGGAGGGGTTTTTCCAGAGCCATCTCCAGTGTGTTTTGAAAGGTTCCAGCAATGGGGCTCCCAGCCCTTCCCTTGTGGGAGACAGTTCCCCAGGCTGAGTGTCTCTGAGCTGTGCCAGACCCTGTGAGTTACTGAGCATGGAAATCAATGGGAAACAAGTGGGTCCTGGGCTTGCTCTGCCTAGGGACTTTGACGTGGGGAATGGTTTCCCAGTAGAAGTCCTGACTCCTGGGTTCTGTTCCTTCTCTAGCCTGAGGGGGAGTGTGGCCTGGGATGGCAGGAGGGAGCTGCTTGTCCAAAGTGACCGATGGTCTTTGTGACTGACCCCAGTGCTTGAAAAGGAGGAGACTCCCTGGGTATTGCAGCACCAGGGATGATGAGGGGGAACGTTGGGAGCCGATCATGCAATGAACTCCTGCCAGTGTGTGTAGATTGCACTCCCTGCACCCCTGTGGGGGGAAGGAGGAGCTGCTCTGGCTGGGGCAGGGATGGGGAGGGACCAAAAAGGCTGATTAGTGAGAGGCTGCCTTGACCCCAGACTCACGCCTGCTCCCCGCTTGGTTCCAGGATGGCCAGGCTCCTGAGGATGTTCAGGAAGAAGGCTCTGCAAATGGCCCCAGAGCCTGAGGGAAGCAGCAGCAATCTTATCCAGGAGCAGAGCTGTCCCTCCATCCCTGCTGGTGGGGAAGGAGCTCCCGGCCAGGCCAGGAGGTGGAAGCGCCCAGCCTTCTGGCAGAGGAAACCCGATCCCGGCGCAGGTGCCAAGGTGGGAGAGGCACCAGCCAGGCCAAAATGGAGCTGGCCCAGGATGTGGCTGGGCAGGCAGGACCCAGCCTAGGAGGGGTGCCGGGCAGGATGGCTCTGGGGCTTGTTGTGCAGGAAGCACCGGCCCCAGGAGCCCAGCCCTGATTCCCAGCAGGAGGCAACACCTTTCCCGGTCACCGAGGACCTTCCAGCCTCCCCAGGGCAGGAGGTGGAGGATCTCTGTCCCAGCACCAGCAGCTTGGCCCGATCCCTGTGGGACAGCAGCAGCGCCTGGGACACAGGCAGCAGTGAGGCCGATGGGTGCCGCTGCTTTGTTCCAGGTGAGGAGCCAGGCTGGGCTCAGGGAGGGGTAAGGAGGGGGCTGTGAACACCCTGGGGCCAGGCACTCAATCAGAGCTATGGGGGCGGGTCCCTAGCGCAGGTGTCTGGCCTGAGCAACATGAACCCCACTGACACTAGATGCTTCCACTTTGGTCCTTGATGCTCCAATTGTGCGGGGGGCAGGCACCTCCAAGGGAGTACAGGACAGTGGGGGGGGGTCTCTTTGCTATGGGCTCCTGAAGGAGTTGGGGGCTGAAGGCATCATTGAGAGGGGGGAGTGTGTGGCCTGATCTGCCCTGGGTCCTGGAGATGGGAAGAGTCCTGGCCCAGTGGGGACTGGGAGCTGACAGGAAAATGCTGATGGAGTCCCCTCTCCCTCTCCCTTCCATTAGAACTCAGCAGAATTCCCAATGATGGGTCACCATGTGGCACAGCTGGCTCTATTCATCAGTGACCCAGCCAAGGACAGAAGCTGGCAGGCCAGGGAGGGGGTTTACCGGCTCTACCAGCTGCTGCTACACCAGAGTGGTAGGGAACCCAGCTGGGAAATGGCACCTGAGAGAAGAGTGAGACTGGGACCCCAGCCGATTTCTCTGACTGACCCCAGCTGGAGGATGAGTCTCTCTCTATCTCTTTCTCTGTTCTACACCACCCCCTGCAATTCTGTTGGGCCAGGCATGCCGCGAGGACTCTGCCCACTGTGCAGCCACCAATGGGATTTGAAGGACACAAGCACTGCAACCAGAATGACAAATGTGTGTGTGTGTGTCTCTTTCCCAGGGCTGACCATCTATGAGGCAGAAGACCTGTGGTGTTGGGACTGGCACCAGGACAGCAGGCTCCTGGGCTAAAGGAACACATTCAGGGTGGGGGAGGTAAGGACACTCTGCCAGGGCATGAGACAACTCAGGGAGTGGGGGTGGCTGGGTCCCCTGCAGTGGATGCCTCCGGGGGCCACTAGATGGAGATGCCATTCTAGCCCCAGAATTTGGCGCCTGGCTCTGGGCAATCTGCTAATGCCTCACATCCTGTTGGTTTTAGGTCTTTGGAAATTTCTTCTCAGAGGGGCAGAGAAGATTCTTCATCTGCACCGCAGTGCTGGCCATCCATGGCTCCCTGCTCCGTGTCAGCCTGGCTGGGCTGCTCCTCGCTTACTCCCTCCTGGGGGAAGCCCAGCAGCTGATGGGGGACACGGTAAGAAGGTGCATTAGACTCAGGAGATTGAGGCTGGGCCCAGGCCTCATTCCCATCCTATCGCCATTCGCTGGCCTGGCAGCAAGGAGTCTGGTGGGGAATGAGAGTGAGACCAGGTGCTACTGGGAAGGGAGATGAATTCACCTGCATGAGCAGGAGGGAACCAGCTTGTCCCCGGAGCAGCTCCAACCCAGCTCTTCAGCAAGGCTAATTAGTGACAATCATTACATCATCACTGACTTATGTTCTTAGGACACAGTGCTATCACTCTTGGGAAGGGCAGCAGAGTCCCCTAAGTGCCCTCTGTGAGCCTCTCCTGTCCCACAGGGCCGCACCCAGTTCCCAAGCATCCGTGTCACTCGAGCCACCATAAAGAGTGGCTTCCATCACTGGCAGCCTGGGACTGACTGGTAATGGCGACTGACCAGGCAGGGCTGAGGCATATGGGTGGGGGAAGCTTGTCCTGCTGCTGGCAGGGCTGGACCTGCTCTAGAGAGAATGGGAGGATTCAGTCAGCAGGGACTGCTGATCTTCCCCATTCACGAGGGCTGCCATCCTGCGGCTTCAGCATCAGTGGCTGGGATGACTTGGGGAAAGGTCTCAGGCTCCCACATCCCACTTCATTGCTGCCAGAATCCCTTCTGCCTCCCATGCTCGAGCCCCCTCCCTGCCCAACCTGTGTGGGGGTGGAGAAGAGGATTCTGAGAACTTGAGCTGTGGATTGGGGGTGGAACAGCTGTCAGGGGCACTGAGGGGGAGGTGGCCGGAGTTCACCCTATAAGGAGGGGTGTTGGCTCTGGAGGTCACTAGAAAGGACAGCAAGACTCCATTCTGGGGGTCAGGAGGATGAATCCATCCTTCAGAGGTGAGCAGGTACTGGGTGGAAATGCTGCTGGTTCCAGGTGCCCTTAATCCCCCCTGACTCCTGGGGGGCGTCCGAGTCTCTGATAGGTTCTCGTTCCCTTGCAGCAGGACGACATCTCGGCCAAAGTGATGCACCAGCTGTGCATCATCTGGCACTTTTGCCAGGTGCCTGAGGCACTGCAGGGGCTGTGCCTCTGAGGCCACCAGCAACTCCCGCTCCCTGCTGCAGGTACTGCTCTGACTCACTGTAAATGGGGAGCTAGTGGAAGGGGAAATGGAGCCTCCTGGCACCCACAAAAACTCTCTCCCCTCTCTGTGGAGCAGGGTACTTCCCTCTGCCCCACAAATTCCTTCATCTGGGGCAGGAGCTCTTTCCCTCACACCCAATTCCCTCCCCGCTTTTCTTGGTCTACCCCCATCCCATTCCCCCTGCTCCCAGGCAGAGCTCTCCCTGCCCCATATGGTGTAGAAGGGCCTTTGTGTCAGGGCCATAGTCCCTAGCCCCACTGAAGCTCGGAAAGCTCAATTTTGGGGGAGGTGGGGATGGGACAGAGGCTCAGGGCTAGCTTCACCGCCTGCCCTTTATTCTTCCCTTGGTCCTTCTACGGGGTCTCTAGATCTGAAATGAATAGGAGCCTCCTTCCCAGCTGTCTTCCAGGCCCTGGGATTTGTCACAGGCTGCAGCTGAGCCACTTCCGGGAGCAGTGGGGACAGGTCACCTTGTCCCATCAAAGCAAGCAATGCTGGGTCTCCAAGAGGCTTAGATGGAAGACCCCACTCCCTCATGGAGGTAAGAGCCATTTACTCCATGGGGTATGTGGGTCTCTTGGGAGAGAAATGGGATCCCCGATGCGTAGCCTGGCTGGGAGCTTCCCCGCCCCTGGCTCCCAGTTCTGGCACAGAGACATCTCCATCATCGTACCACCATGGTTTTTTTCTAGGAAGGGGCTCCCCAGAGATGTCCTCAAACCTGGACTCCTGAGAGCATTTCTGGTAGGAGGCTCCAGCCCCTCGGGCATGAAGAGAGCATCAGGTAGTCTCATTCACAGGGCATCTCTGGTCTCCAGCTCCACTTCCTGCAGCAGGGCAAATGAACCCATCAGCTCCCAGAATCCCAACTCTTTGACCTCCTTCCGCTCAGCAGTGGGGTTTCTCCAGTCCCCTCACCACACCTGTCAGCCTCTGAATGATGAAGGGCCTGAAAGTCAGAGTCACCAGAACAAGCAAGCTCCAGATCCAGGCAGTGGGGCCTGTGTGTACTCAGCCTCTCTGGAAACCAGGTCTGAAATGGGGAGCAAGGACCTGAGCCCAGTAACTGTAGGAGTGGGCAGAGCAGGCCTGTAACAGGGTGCTTTCCCCTGGGCTGCACAACCTGGGACTTAGCCAAGCTGATTACAGAATGAGCCCTAACTGAGAGGCAACATGTACCCCCCCTAAAAAGCCAGTTCAGAGCAGCAAGGAAAGCCTAGAGGGGAACTTGAGAAGAGATGTAGGAAGTGCCCAGCAAAAACTGCAGCAAAGAGAAAGGAGCAGACCTAGCTGTTGGGTACAGGGCCCTTCTTTCTGTGGAAAGACCTCTTTGGACTTTTAGTGTGAGACAAGCTGGGCCCCAGAAGGGTGGACTAAAAGTGGTGACCTGGCCGGAGGGCTGAGCTACCAGGCAGAGAAACTGCCATGGTGCTGGAGCGACCATCGATGGGAACACTAGCCCAGCGAGAGAGCTCTGATGCCATGCCTGGCCGCCAGGGGGGGCATGTAACGATGAGTAGATTTGTTTATGATGGGCATAGTCAGGAGGATTGACTTCCCCTTGTGATCTGTGAGGGCTGATGGAAGTCTTGGTTGCTGAGGGAAGGTCTGTCCTCCCAAGCGGGTGTATCGAGGGACCGGTTTCCCTGACGGAAAAGGTTTTGGCGTATGCAGCGGCAGTAGCAAAAAGGCTACAGAAGAAGCTAAAGGCTTCAGAACTGGCTCTGCAAACAGTTAATGAGAATGAGTGGCTGCAGGAAGAGCATTGGGATTCTGTAGCAGAGAAGGATGGCCTCTTAATTCTGGTGAGCGAGCTGGCAGTGGAGCTGGAGACACTGTGCGCGCAGGCTGTACACGCGCAGCCGGTGATAATGATGAGAGGATGAGGGATGAAGCTTGGACAAGAATAGAACTTGCCCCCCGTGTGGGCCAGGTTCTAAGGAGGAGGGTATATAACAGGGGGGCTTGGCCTGTGGGCTATACAGCCTGGAGCTAGGCCAAATGGATTACAGAGTGAGCTCCACGTGCGGGGAAAACCACAGAAAAAGGTACAGGAGCAGGCCTAGCTGTTCGGTACAGGGCCTTGGTACAGAACCTAGAATCCAGGGTAGGACTGATTCTCCCATGGTCTCTAAGGAAGGGGACATACAAGGCCACAGAAAGGGCTACCAAAGCCAACAAGGGCAGGCTAAGCCAAAGTCAGGCTGAGGAAGAGCCCCCAAAGGCTCAGAAGACCGTGTTTCTGTTAAAGACATTTTTGGACTTTTAGTTTGGGATGAACGCCACCCAGGAAGGAGTGGACTAAAACACGTTCACCTGGCTGAAGCGCTGAGTTCCCGGCCAAAAAACTGCCAGAGTGCCCTAGTGACTATCAGCGAGGGTGCTAGCCCAGCAAGAAAGCTGTGACACCAGGCCTTGCCAGAAAGGGGCACCTATCAGTGAGTGAACTCTGTTACAAGACTGCTTCCATTATGGAAACAGCCCGGTATTGGAAAGTGGTGGGGATGGCCTATGGGAGAGGATGGCTGAAGGGGTCATACAGGAGTGGAAGCAGGGTCCAGTGATGAAAGCAGGGAATGGGTTGTACTACAGCCCTGCCACTGAGTGGTAACATGATCCTGGCCAGGTCACTCTCCCACCTGGTGCCTCATTTTCTCTGTCTTTGAAATGGGGATCGTCCTGACCCACATTAAGAAAGTGTTTGATCCTCTGCTCTTGCTTCCCAAATCCCTGTCCTCCTTGCCCCACACAGGCCTCTGCCCTGTTCCTCAAACTTCCATGCCCACGTTAGTGCCTGTGTCACTCCCCAACTGCAAGGTTGCGTGTACAGTCTCCTGCCAGCAAACTGAAGCCGCCCCTAGATCCAGAACAGGAATTGCAGTTCCTGTGCGCTGCCCTGAATGGAGTATAGAGCATGGGCATGGTGAAGGCCAACACTCACATCCAGGTAGATCATCAACCTATTCCTCTGTTCCAGGAGCAGGAAGGCCTCTGGTTCTTGCTCTCTTTGGTAGCTGGAGCTGCTGAGTTGGGGGTGCGGTGGGCAGAGATGGGAACAGGCCAAAGGATTAATCAAGTGTCAGGGGGAGACTCCCCCTCTGTGGGAGATTGATGGCCCTCTGTGGGGAATCCCTTCCTTGCAGATGCTGTGCTTTTGTTCCTGGACTCTGCCAGGAAGCCCAGCTCCCATCCCTAGCAGCTTGGCTCTTCCCTACCCTGCTGTGCACCAGGCCCTCTGCAGAGAACTGCTCTGGGCAAGGTCTGCAGAGCCAGCTGTCATCATGGCAGGTGTAGCCCCAGGTTTCATAACCCTGACACATGGTCTCCCTCCGCTGACAGGCTCTGCAGAAGACCTGCCCAGAGACATGGATGTCATGCTGAAGAGTTTGCTGACAGCAACCCCCATCACAGACAAACTCCAGCACATCTTGGAGGTGAGCATAATGGGCAGGGGCAGCAGGAATTTTACCAAAGAGACTGGAAATGAGAGACTGGATGATCCACGTTTCCATTGTGTCCTGCTACCTGAGAACCATTGGGCCACCAATGGTCAGGACAGTCAGTGCAGAGCTGTGTTGGGGCCCTTCCTCCTTCAGGGACAGAGGGAAGGCACTGGTGCTCAACAACAGGGCTCTGCCTGGTTCTGTTGAGCACTAATGCCAAGGCCCCAGGCAGGCTTGTGGAGTGAGAGCATCAGACCTTTGTGATGTCCAGGAGAAGGTCCTCAGAGAAGGAGCACTGGCTCCTTCCAAGGAAGCTGCTGACATTCTCAAGGAGGGATTCATCCCTTCTCTCCCATGGACACAGAGGATTGTAAGGAGCAGGGTGTTGTCCTTTGTCCAAGAGAGACCTGTCCTAGGTCTCACCCACAAACCTGGGAGAGAGCTGGGAACTTGACTGGGTCCTACACCAGCACTTGCCCTGGTACACTTTCTTCTCCCCTCCCCATTTGCCTATTTAGCTATGGCTCCATGAACATGAAACAAGCAGGAAATTCTTCTCCATCTCTAAGCCAAACTGGTTGATCAAGTCTGACCCCTCAACATATTTTAGGGGGCATATTTCCAGTATCATAGAATATCAGGGTTGGAAGGGACCTCAGGAGGTCATCTAGTCCAACCCCCTGCTCAAAGCAGGATCAATCCCCAACTAAATCATCCCAGCCAGGGCTTTGTCAAGCCTGACCTTAAAAACTTCTAAGGAAGGAGATTCCACCACCTCCCTAGGTAACACATTCCAGTGCTTCACCACCCTCCTAGTGAAAAAGTTTTTCCTAATATCCAACCTAAACCTCCCCCACTGCAACTTGAGACCATTACTCCTCGTTCTGTCATCTGCTACCATTGAGAACAGTCTAGAGCCATCCTCTTTGGAACCCCTTTTCAGGTAGTTGAAAGCAGCTATCAAATCCCCCCTCATTCTTCTCTTCTTCAGACTAAACAATCCCAGTTCCCTCAGCCTCTCCTCATAAGTCATGTGTTCCAGTCCCCTAATAATTTTTGTTGCCCTCTGCTGGACGTTTTCCAATTTTTTTCACATCCTTCTTGTAGTGTGGGGCCCAAAACTGGACACAGTACTCCAGATGAGGCCTCACCAATGTCGAATAGAGGGGAACGATCACGTCCCTCGATCTGCTGGCAATACTCCCACTTATACAGCCCAAAATGCCATTGGCCTTCTTGGCAACAAGGGCACACTGTTGACTCCAGCTTCTCGTCCACTGTAACCCCAAGGTTCTTTTCTGCAGAACTGCTGCCTAGCCATTCGGTCCCTAGTCTGTAGCGGTGCATGGGATACTTCCATCCTAAGTGCAGGACTCTGCACTTGTCCTTGTTGAACTTCATCAGATTTCTTTTGGCCCAATCCTCTAATTTGTCTAGCTCCCTCTGTATCCTATTGCTACCCTCCAGCGTATCTACCTCTCCTCCCAGTTTAGTGTCATCTGCAAACTTGCTGAGGGTGCAATCCACACCATCCTCCAGATCATTAATGAAGATATTGAACAAAACCGGCCCGAGGACTGACCCTTGGGGCACTCCACTTGATACTGGCTGCCAATTAGACATGGACCCATTCATTACTACCCATTAAGCCTGACAATCTAGCCAGCTTTCTATCCACCTTCTAGTCCATTCATCCAGCCCATATTACTTTAACTTGCTGGCAAGAATACTGTGGGAGATTGTGTCAAAAGCTTTGCTAAAGTCAAGGAATAACACGTCCACTGCTTTCCCTCCATCCACAGAGCCAGTGATCTTGTCATAGAAGGCAATTAGATCAGTCAGGCATGACTTGCCCTTGGTGAATCCATGCTGACTGTTCTTGATCACTTTCCTCTCCTCTAAGTGCTTCAGAATTGATTCCTTGAGGACCTGCTCCATGATTTTTCCAGGGACTGAGGTGAGGCTGACTGCCTGTAGTTCCCCAGATCCTCCTCCTTCCCTTTTTTAAAGATGGGCACTACATTAGCCTTTTTCCAGTCGTCCGGGACCTTCCCCGATCGCAGTGAGTTTTCAAAGATAATGGCCAATGGCTCTGCAATCACATCCGCCAACTCCTTTAGCACTCTCGGATCCAGCGCATCCGGCCCCATGGACTTGTGCTCGTCCAGCTTTTCTAAATAGTCCCGAACCACTTCTTTCTCCACAGAGGGCTGGTCATGTCCTCCCCATGCTGTGCTGCCCAGTGCAGTAGTCTGGGAGCTGACCTTGTTCGTGAAGACAGAGGCAAAAAAAGCATTGAGTACATTAGCTTTTTCCACATCCTCTGTCACTAGGTTGCCTCCCTCATTCAGTAAGGGGCCCACACTTTCCTTGACTTTCTTCTTGTTGCTAACATACCTGAAGAAACCCTTCTTGTTACTCTTAACATCTCTTGCTAGCTGCAACTCCAGGTGTGATTTGGCCTTCCTGATTTCCCTCCTGCATGCCTGAGCAATATTTTTATACTCTTCCCTGGTCATTTGTCCAATCTTCCACTTCTTGTAAGCTTCTTTTTTGTGTTTAGGATCAGCAAGGATTTCACTGTTAAGCCAAGTTGGTCGCCTGCCATATTTACTATTCTTTCGACACATCGGGATGGTTTGTCCCTGTAACCTCAATACGGATTCTTTAAAATACAGCCAGCTCTCCTGGACTCCTTTCCTCCTCATGTTGTTCTCCCAGGGGATCCTGCCCATCCATTCCCTGAGGGAGTCAAAGTCTGTTTTTCTGAAGTCCAGGGTCCATATTCCTCTGCTCTCCTTTCTTCTTTGTGTCAGGATTCTGAACTCGACCATCTTGTGGTCACTGCCTCCCAGTTTTCCATCCACTTTTGCTTCCCCTACTAATTCTTCCCAGTTTGTGAGCAGCAGCTCTGCCCCTAGTTGGTTCCTCCTGAACTTGCACCAGGAAATTGTCCCCTACACTTTCCAAAAACTTCCTGGATTGTCTGTGCACCACTGTATTGCTCTCCCAGCAGATATCAGGGTGATTGAAATCTCCCATGAGAACCAGGGCCTGCGATCTAGTAACTTCCGTTAGTTGCTGGAAGAATGCCTCATCCACCTCATCTCCCTGGTCCGGTGGTCTATAGCAGACTCCCATCACGACATCACCCTTGTTGCCCACGCTTCTAAACTTAATCCAGAGACTCTCAGGTGTTTTTCTGCAGTTTCATACTGGAGCTCTGAGCAGTCATACTGCTCTCTTACGTACAATGCAACTCCCCCAGCTTTTCTGCCCTGCCTGTCCTTCCTGAACAGTTTACATCTAGTCCACTCTCTGCATTAGTTTATATCTATCCATGACAGTACTCCAATCATGTGAGTTATCCCACCAAGTCTCTGTTATTCCAATCACATCATAATTCCTTGACTGTGCCAGAACTTCCAGTTCTCCCTGCTTGTTTTCCAGGCTTCTTGCATTTGTGTATAGGCACTTGAGATAACTCGCCGATTGTCCCTCTTTCTCAGTATGAGGCAGAAGTCCTCCCCTCTCACGATCTCCTGCTTGTACTTCCTCCCGGTATCCCATGTCCCCACTTACCTCAGGGCTTTGGTCTCCTTCCCCTGGTGAACCTAGTTTAAAGCCCTCCTCACTAGGTTAGCCAGCCTGCTTATGAAGATGCTCTTCCCTCTCTTCGTTAGGTGGAGCCCATCTCTGCCTAGCACTCGTCCTTCTTGGAACACCATCCCATGGTCAAAGAATCCAAAGCCTTCTCTCCGACACCACCTGCGTAGCCATTCGTTGACTTCCACTATTCGGCGGTTCCTACCCAGGCCTTTTCCTTCCACGGGGAGGATGGACGAGAACACCACTTGCGCCTCAAACTCCTTTATCCTTCTTCCCAGAGCCATGTAGTCTGCAGTGATCTGCTCAAGGTCATTCTTGGCAGTATCATTGGTGCCCACGTGGAGAAGCAGGAAGGGGTAGTGATCCGAGGGCTTGATGAGTCTCGGCAGCCTCTCCGTCACATCGTGAATCCTAGCTCCTGGCAAGCAGCAGACTTCTCGGTTTTCCCGGTCGGGGCAGCAGAGAGATGACTCAGTCCCCCTGAGGAGAGAGTCCCCGACCACCACCACCCGCCTCCTTCTCTTAAGAGCGGTAGTCGTGGAACCCCCATCCCTAGGACAGTGCATCTCATGCCTTCCAATCGGTGGAGTCTCCTTCTGTTCCCTTCCCTCAGATGTATCATCTAGTCCACTCTCTGCATTAGTACCTGTGGAGAGAACATGAAAACGGTTGCTTACCTGTATCTGCATTGCTGGTACATGGACGCTCCCCTTTCTTCTTCTGGAGGTCACATGCTGCCAGATTTCTTCACTGTCCTTCTGTCCCTGCTGCTCAGCCTGCTCTGCATCTTCAGAACATTGTGTCCGTAGAAGCATATCCTGACGTCTGTCCAGAAAATCTTCAGTTTCTCTTATGCAACGCAGGGTCGATACTTGTTTCTCCAGACCTTGAACCTTCTCTTGCAATATGGAGACCAGCTTGCACTTTATACAGACAAAGTTGCTTCTGTCCTGTGGAAGAAAGACAAACATGACACATCCAGTGCAGGTCACAACAGCTGAATGCTCCCCATCCATATTACCTTCCTTCTACGAGCTTCCTCAGGAGTTGTAGTAACTACTCAGAGAAGCCTGCAAGATGTAAGCCTCAGTGGGCTCTCCCAAGGCAAACTACCTCTGTTATCCTCTCAGCTGTTCACCGCTCATCTGGTTTGCAGCTGACTGGCTTTTTATAACAGTAAGGCCCACTCAAGCCTCACCTGGAACAAAGCACTCCCAATTCACACTTTTCAAACAATCAAGCACACGGTCAAGTACATGTACAGAACTCATTCTGCCCCACTTGGATCTACATCACACAAGGATATTCATGAGAGTGTTGTCAGGTTTCCAACATAAGAATGGCCATACTGGGTCAGACCCAAGGTCCGTCTAACCCTCTAT